CAACGAAGAAAATAAAATGAACAAATATACCTGAACAACGAAAAGAGCTCAACTTCGTGCTGATAACGTGTTAAGAAATATAGCTCAAAGTAACAATATAAAACAAGTAGATAAGTAGAATAAGAGAAGAGGAGATAACTTTCTTATTTCATCAAGTGTTCAAGTATTTTCCATCTCACATTTCATGCCTCTATTTATACTATTACATATGAAGGTTACAATTGAGATCATTGGGGAAGATCATGGGGAGAGGTTATGGAAGTGTGGGAGTTACAATCATAATAGTGATGAGTAGTGAGATGTTATTTACATTATGAGTGAAAATATTGGGAGTAGTGGACATCCATATTAACTACTAGCTTTAGGGTGCGCGCTTTGCGCGTGTACCTATGTCGATGAATGCTAAATTTTTGAGAAGTTAGATAAACATTACTTCCTCTATTTTCATTTACATAACACATTTTCTTATTAAAATAAGATAAACAGATAGATAGATTCAAGTGCATTTTTTATGTGCATTTTTTAGTTGTAGACAAAAATAATATATACATAATAATTAATATTTAATTATTTGTTTATATTGATCAATTATTTGTTTGGTTGGAGTTACGTTCTTTTTTGTTTAAATAAATATTTCATATAACTAATAAGTTTACCATTTTTCTACCTTTTTAAGGGCTCTTGATTACTAATAAATATTTCCTCTATCTCAAATTATTTGTCGTATTTCTCTTTTACACACATCTAAAGAAAACATTAATTAGAAGGAATTTTTGACTATTTAACCCTTATTTATGTCTTAAGTATAACATCTTTTCATTGAACATTTACTTTATTTTATGTGCAATCTTCATCTTCAAGAATAATTACTACGAAGGAGAAAATAAAAATATAATTAATTTTGTCTTAAACTTCTAAAATGATAAATAATTTGAAATATCTATTTTTATAAATTACGATAAATAGCTTGAGATGGAGGGCGTAGAAATTAATTCCTTTATATTAGTTGTATATTGGCTTATTTTGACTCTATTCCTCATCTAGCTTTACTGTTAGAATAATCAATAGTACTTGGAAAATAAAAAGAAAAATTAATAATAGTAGTTTTCTTCAAATTAAAAAGTAATAGTATCTCTTCAATTTTTGCTTTTAATTTCTTGAATCCAAATNGAACGTGGTTGATGATTCGGGGTAAGGGTTTTATAGAAAAGATTCCGAGAATTTTTGCGGTTGATTGCGTAAGGTTATGTCAATAAGAAATCAAGGATCATGGTGAAGTCCAGAGTTGTGCAATAATGGCTCAAGCTAAGTGGGAGAGTCCCACCGCCTATGATTAGGGTTGCATGGTTAACTACTTGCGACATTTCTGATTATTAGCATATTGATGGGTCATTTCAGCTACGGAAAGGACATAAGCGGTGATTTGAGCAAAATAATTGTTAAAGGTGTGCTATGGTTGGCCTTGTTGGCCCATGTTCAGACTTGGGGAAGGATTCAGGATTTATGCCTTGTATAGATGTGGGTTTCGAGGGAAGTGAGTCTGCCGGATGCTTCGCCGAGAGGGTATTTATGTGCTAGAAGATTATGGGGTTGATTATATTTGGGGCCAAGCCAGAGCGGGTGGCTCTCAACAACGGTCCTAGTGGATTCAAAGGGGTAAAGTGTGGTGCCTAATGGCTTCGAGCCTATAGATACAGTTAAGAATCAAGCCTTGTAGCATCTTATGAGAACGGGCACAGAAGGTTCTATGATGTTTTGACCTGCAGGGTAGAAATTGGGAGGTATGAAACGGTTCGTGGTATGTGAGACAGCATGGTCTCGTGAGTCAAGGTCACTCGAGATGAGTGCGGATGGAGTATGCTATGTGTTGAATGGAGTTATTATCATTTCTAAGGCAATCAAGGATAAATTGGAAGAAGGTAGATTGATTAGCCATAGTTGAATTGGCATATTGGTGGCAGCGATCGGTTCCTTCAGCACGATCAAGTTATGCAAGTGATTTGCGGCGATACATGTGAGGTTTGTCAGCTGCCGTAATTGATGCTATTCAGAAGTATTCTACTGTTATGGCCTGTCATGTGTAGGCGGGTCCCGGAAGGGCTGTGGTGGCTTAAGACCACTACTGAGAGATTTGGCGTGTTCTACGGTTATGAGAGTTCACCTGTGTGTTGCTAAGGATCTCCTGAAGTGACAAAAGTGAAGAGTTTTATATGATGAAGTGTTAATCCATTTGTGGTTACGGATTTATGATGAAAGATCGTGTTCTATCTTATAATGGCATGTCGGGCGCAGCGAGTGGTATGGAATTCGAAGAGAGGATCAAGGTTATAGTTCGGTGTTGACATAGATGTCACGAGCTCGGATGAGCAGGGAAGTAGTTTCGATGTTTAAAGTAAGTTGGTATTGTCTTCAGCGTCACCTGAGATCAGTGTTTTGTGAAAAAGGCTTTGCATCCCGGTTATGGATTCTTGGTCACTTTTTAGCATTAGTGCGGCCGGTGGTTTGGATGTACAGACTTGTTATCTATACGGAAGGTTGTGGGAGCGTGCCCCACGAGAAGGTCGTATATGGGTGGCGTGTAGTCACTTGAGTGGTTGAAGAGTTGAACCGAGTATGAAGATTGTGGTGATATTGGTGGTTTGGGAATTGATGCCTGGAAGGCACTTGATTTATTGAGTTGTGGACTGTGGATGATCACTCCGGTTATGATGGCTGTTCTTATGTGTTATGAGAAAAAGGGAGTTATTATGGACCTTTGAAAGGTTAGCAGCCTAGTTCAGTACGAGCAGAATCAGCTTGAGGTCTGTGGATGGATTCAAATGTGAATATGGGCTCTATATCAGGCCAGGCGTGTTCATCTCAGTAATGCGCTCCTTATGGAAGAATAGTCAGGGTGTTATTTCGTCGTCAGTTATTTTATGTAATGATACATTGCACCATGTGAGTTGTGAGGCGGCTTGGTGAATTGCTTATGTGTTGAGGTTCCGCGTAGAGATGATGTTACAAGAGCAAAATGGCTCATGAGATTCAGATCGTATATCGCACCTCAGTTGTGCTTGAGTTTTGTAGCTTATAGCGCTATATGCCCCCTCATGGATGGTATTATGCACTTAGCGTGCTTGTGACCGATATTCGGTATTTTGTGGTAATGAGCAATTTAGCTCGATGTGCACCTCCTTAGGTGAGTGTTATGTGTGGATCGGGTGGCACGCCACCATGGATATGTTATTCGGATCGGGTTGCGCCGCAACAGTGTGATGTTGAATACAGTTTTCATACTTCATCTTATGTGTGTTTGTTTTCCATTTTTCTGAGGGAAGTTCATATTAGTTGCGGGAGTCGAGTAGTTCCTTCCAGAGTTCATTTTCCTTATACATCGCGTTCGAGTTCATAGCCTATTGGCACATTGTGGCATCATATGGGACTTTTGATCATGTCCGGGATGGCCTATTGCCTTAGCTTTTCGTACTGGGTGAGACGAGATAATTGGATTAGGATCAGTGCAATCTGATTATATGAAGTATACTAAGGAGCTAAGACCATTATTTGGTTCAGACTGAGGTGATGGTTCTTGTCAGGGGCATAGACCCTATGAATCGTTGATTCGGCAGTTGGTTATGAATTCCTACACATCCCTTCCGTCGTGGCGGCATTACGAGAGTTGGAACAGGACTTATATATGTCATGGGGTGCATTGTGAGCATCAGATTCGGGAAAGATTGGCTATTACGATCAGAGAGTGTTATCATGGTCTTGTGAATGATGGGGTGCATGGTGTGAATTCAGCAAGGGTGTGCAGTCATGTTCTGGTACAACGTGTGGTGATTGATACAGTGTTCATATGTCGAAAGCAGGCCTGGCAAAGAATTTCGGATGTAGAAACTGGGCTCCAAGGCTTATTTGCTTAAATGAAAGAGGTTATCTTTAGATTTGATCGAGCTAATGTGCCCAACTAAATTGTGTTAGCACAGGTAGGTGCACGAGGTATTAAGTAGTGATTCCAGACAACCCCAGCACAGTTCCTAGCATGTTCGAGGACGAACGTATGTTTAAGTGGGAGAGGATGCAACGACCCGACCAATCGTTTTGAGCCCTAGCGCGCCGTTCAGCAGTTCGAGGCCATGAGCAGCTTGAATTCAGGTATTATGACTTGTTCGCGTGGTCGGGATTAAATTTCGGGAAGTTCGGAGTCGACTTGGAGAGGAAATTCTCATTTCAGAAGCTTTAAGTTGAAAGAATTAGCTAAGATCGAATTTTTGAGTAATCGACCTCGGAATGATTCGAAGGTTCCAGCAGGTTCGTGTGATGATTTCGGACTTGGGCGTATGTTCGGGTCAGGTTTTGGATGACCCGGGAGCGTTTTGGCGCCTATTGTGGAAGTTAGCATTTTGGAAGAAATTCTATAAGTTTGGGTTGAAGTGCATTTCAGTGTTATCGATGTCNAAAAAGGCCAATTTGAAGAATCTTTTTCCTCTATGGAAAGTAAAGAATCCCAAACGTTACAGGAATTGAAGTGCTAAAATTTTTGCCTAAATTATTTGACGTTCAATTTGTTATTATTTCTTTTAAAAATATGATACATTACATGGTTCAAATAAGAAAATATTTAATACGCAAAATTTAGTTGAATTTAAAGTCCTAAATATTAGGAAAATAATTAAATGACTATTTCTAAATGTAAAAAATCAAATGACTATTTTGTTTAGTGTGAACTATAGTTTTGAAGGATAAAAAAGACGAACAACATTTCGCTAAGGGCTTTCGTACTTTTAATATAGTATAAATAGATAGGTAGGTTTTACAACAATATAATTTTTTTTAAAAGGGCCTAACATTAAAGTTTAGCTTTGGCCACTAAACTTATTGAGCGGCGCTTGTTCTTTGTCCTTTTAAGTTCTCAATTCCCTGATATCTTAGTTTTTTCATTTTGTGATTTAGTATTCAAGAAAGCTAGCGCCAAGAATTGTAATAGCAAATCAAAGAAACCTTTGGAAGAAGAAATGAATTGGCAGAGAGATAACGGCAAAGACTTGAACACTAGCTTTCGAAAGAAGATCAAAATTCCTGAAAACCAACTCTGTTTTCAATCCTCTGTTTCTTCATCCCACCAAACTCTGTTACCACCCTCTGTTCCTTATAATGCTCCCACACACATAGCATTTTCTCCTACATCTTCTTCTACTTCTCCTTCGTCGATGGTCGTTTTTCCTTTTGCTTTAGATGGAACTCAGCAACCCACGGAATGTTCACATCAATTAATATCAAACAACACGCCTCTGTTTCGGCCGCTGCATCAAAATCAGCAGCAAATGATCTCCTTTACCGCTCAACACCCACAATATTTTTCAAGGGAATTGGGACCATTCCAGCATCAGCTGCAGCATTGTAATGAAACACTGAATTTAAGTCCAAGAGGGAGGACTACAATGTTGAATAAGTCGGGACAGAGTAACAGGGTTCCCCTGTTTAGTCCTCTGTTACAGCATCCTTATTCAACGACGAAACTGTACAGAGGAGTAAGGCAGAGGCATTGGGGTAAATGGGTAGCTGAGATTCGTCTTCCTCGTAAAAGGACTCGTCTTTGGCTTGGTACTTTTGATACTGCTGAAGATGCAGCCATGGCTTATGATCGCGAGGCCTATAAGTTACGAGGAGAGAATGCGAAGCTCAATTTTCCCGAGCTCTTCCTTGATAAAAACAAAGCAGCATCACCAGAGAATCTTCAGTTGAAACAACCTCAACAGCCACCATCTGAATGTGGCAATTTTGAAGAGGAAACAGGATCAAGTGAGGTTATAGCTATTGATGGAGTTCAAGGGAATGTGGAGAATTGGGGTGCAACATTATCTGATTTTGAGGCTTGGTTAAATGCAATACCAGTAGGTTGGGGTCCAGGAAGTCCAGTTTGGGATGATTTGGATACTAACAATAATCTCATCTTGCCCCAAACTATAAATTTTGGAGATGTTCATCAGCAGAAACCTCATAATTCTGATCTTCAAGGCACGATGAAACCCGCAGAGGAACACGTTGGCTTAGAATTAGACCTTCTGTAGACGGAACATCAAACTTCTTGATAGGCCTGAGAAATTTTGGAGATCCTTTTGAATTCTCCAATTTGTCTTTCCTTCTTACACCTGAAACAATATCTGCAGAATGGCTGCATATTTTTTGCCTTTTTTGCAGAGGTAAATTTCACTAGTTAGCTTTTACATCTAGGACTGTAGCCAGTATCAATACTATCATGACTATCTAGTTATGTTGTTTTACTGTATTTTTGGCTGTTTAATTACTAGCTTTTGCTCTAGTTGTTTATAAATTAGGACCAATGTTAAGGAGATGGTTTTTTAATCTCCTACCCTTGATGGTCACTTATTGTTTATACTATTGCTTTCTTTTTTGAGTTTCTATTGGAAACAGTCTCTCTGCCTTTACCGTAGGGGTAAGGTCTGCACACACGCTACCCTCCCTGGACTCCACTTATAGGATTATACTGGGTTTTTTTGTCGTTGTTGTTGTACTCTTGATGGTCACTCCATTGCCAGCTCAACTTTTATCAGCAAGGATGGAAAGAATAAAAGTTTCTGTAGTCTGTAGTCTGTAGTCTGTACGTTGTAATGCTTGTTTAAGTTGTTATCTTGTAATTTCCTGTTGTCTTCTGTAAAATATCAGTTCAGCAGTTATCCTCTTTTGATCCAATACGAATATTCCCAGTTTTTAAGTCATTATTGATGTGTGCACCTACTGCTATGTATTTATGCACTATGTCGATACCACAAAGTTAAATGTTTGGATATAGATTTGATTGAAACTTGAAAAAAGAGTTTTTGAAATTGTATTGAAAAATAATTTTTAAAAATTGAAGTTGTGTTTGGACATGCATTTTAATTGGACAAAAAAGCTGAAGTTTTGTGAGGGAAGAAAAATTTTCACCTAAAAACTGCCCTAAACTAGTTTTTGGGAACTAGAAATTTTTTGAAAATTTTTCTCCCAAAACATGATCATATTTTATAAACAAACAATGTTTTCATTTTATTTTTCTTTTTGAAAAAATGAAGCCAAAATCTATGGCTAAACGGGAGCTTAAAAGCCGAATTGTGACAATAAACCGGCAATACTTGCACAAAGTTCATGTTATTTGCTTTAGTTATCACTTAGACATATTATCTATTATTAAAACACTCTTCGATTTGCTAATATTATTATTAATCTTTAATTATATATTTTTCAAAAAATATTTTTTACTCACCAATCAAAAAATATCTTCATGAAGAATCAGTGAAAATTACTTCCGTCATACAAAACACACTCTAAAAATAAAAAAGAAAAAACGGTAGTTCGTGATTACGGTATATAACTCGCAGTTTAGGTAACAATCATCACTCAAGCATCTAGAGCCACAAACAGTAGTAGTATTACATAACGAATGGTACAAATGTACAATACATTTTTTTTTACAAAAGTTTATTTTTCTTCGACTACTATATATGCCCTTCCTATATAATTTTTAAGTAGATATTATTTCAAAAGAATTTTAAGGTTTTGATACATTAATGCAGGTCAAAACTAGATAATTTGGACTCTCGCTTTCCAAACCTAACTTTTTTTTTTGGAAACAAAGGGAATAAATATCTTGGATTAATAACAAAAGGTTACATATTGTATACTTAGCATGCTTTTCGTGGTTAATTACTATTTTAAAATCTAACTGGAATTTGGTATAATATTGACAAATATTTTGTTTGACAAAAGTGGGTCCGTTAGCCGTCCCATGAGATCATCTTCACTTCTTGACGAGAAAATGATAAGCTTAAAAATTATAATATAATAAAAGATGAAAAATCTTAATATGTGGCCGGTTAGATAGCTAATGATTAGGTTTAATGATCCTTGCTTAGACTTGAGCATGCTCAACATTGATGTCATGGTGCGGCTGCAGTACTTTGATCTCTAAAATAGAAAATTAATTCCCATGTCAATTTATTAATGGAAGTGTCCTTTTTTGTGTATATGTTCGAAAGATCTGTATTTCACTTCGTACTCAATGTCCGGCATGTATTTTGTGACTTAATTAATTCGGATTCACATTGGAATGTTTTACTTTAGGGTAAAGCTCTACTACCAAAGATAACTGCATTGGTGTAAAAAGAGCATTACACGTGGAATGTCAGTATGCTGACAAAGCACGACGCGTGGAGCAATGATACAACGACAAGTGGCGTTCTCAATAATAGAATGAATTGGGAGAGGAAGGCATGAGAGAAATACCCACGAGACAGTACATAGAATAGAACCGGGCTTTATAGTTGCCAAAGAAAAGGCAAGGACGGAATGAATAAGAACCAAAAGAAGGGAAGATACACGAACCGGAAGTAAATAAAGAAGGAAATCGAAACAGTTATAAGGCATTTATAGCAATAAATACACCAGTTACAACTATCTGAGGTACTGGGCAATCAATACAATTAATGCCTATAATAAATCCAAATTACGTGAGGAAACCGTTATGATTGTAAACTCCTATATAAGGACACATAATTTTACTTGTAAGGACAGATTCCAAGTACTATTGAAATATACTCTTTATTTCTCTGCTTTATCGAAGTTCTCAGCCTTGATCGTATAAATTATCCATCAATTTATTCTTTATTTCTTTCATTATATTTTCTTTACCATTCTTATTTTTTTTCCTCAATAACATTGTGAAAGTGAAGTAAAACTTGGTTATTAGTAACCCGTTTTCTTCTAAGTTTAGACTTTGACCGATAAATTTATTTTTTGGTTAAACAAATTGGTTCCGTTGCCGAAAATATGATAATCTTTTCCCTTTCCAAATTTTTTTTCTGACAGCCAACCATGTCAACTGTCAACGAAAATAACTAGTTGAACCTACAGGAGGGAGCAACTCCACCATTCCCTTCTCCGCAAGGATCTCCTCAACAGTCCCGTGAGGGGTCACCTGAAAGATCAACATCACACGTGAATGATCATCAAGGGACGAGCAGACTGTTGAACAAGATGCTTTAAAACAATTGATCGCAGAACACGTGCACAGAGCTCTTCAAGCCTTTGTTAGGGGATTTCCAACTGCGTCGCAAACTCCTCCTCCGAACAATACCTCAACCCTGGAAAACCCACGCTCAGGGTTCGCCAATTTTGGAAGCGGAGGAACTCCTAATGAATCTCGTGATGGAAGGTCAGGTACACCAAATAACTCTGATTTACAAAGCTTGGTACTAACTCTGCAGAAACAGCTGAAAGAGCAAAATGATCGCATAGAACAAATACCTGGTGTACCTCATGTGATTAAAGGAGTAGATATTGATAAATATTCATAACAACCCTAAAAGCCAAGTGCAGCACCTTTGCCGATTCCTAAGAAGTTTAAAATGCCTGACATTCCAAAATATGATGGAACAACTGACCCTCAAGATCACGTAACTGCGTTTACAACTGGCGTGAAAGGCAATGATTTAACCAAGCAGGAAATCAAATCGGTTTTGGTTAAGAAATTTGGTGAAACACTCACGAAAGGAGCATTAACGTGGTATTCTCTCTTACTTGAAAACTCTATTGATTCTTTTGCTGAGCTTGCAAATTCATTTATAAAATTACACTCGGGAGCTCAGAAAGTTGAAAAAAGGATGGAAGACATCTTTAAGGTAAAACAAGGAAACACATAACTACTCAGAGAGTTTGTGGATAGATTCTAACGAGAGAGGATGATGTTACCACGAGTACCAGACAATTGGGTAGCCATGGCAAGTAATCTAAATGAGAAAAGTTCAGAAGCCACGAGGAGACTTAAGGAAAGATTGCGAGAATTTCCAGCAATAACTTGGAATGACGTGTACAATAGATACAACACAAAGCTGCGGATAGAAGAAGATACGGTTGCACAACCGAGGGTTGATGAAAGAGCAGGGTCAAGACGTTCAGAATTAGAAAAAAGACCCGGGACGAACAGGTACGAGCCTTACATGGGTCCTGCAGGTCGAGATTCTCGGTCCAAACAGGAAAAATTACGATCTGAATCGAGATCAAGACAGAAAGATGTGGGTTCTTCATCTAGATTCAGAAAGGAATGGGACATACGAGGTGATAACTCAAGCACACATGCAAGAATCGGAGATTATAGTTTTAATGTCAGTACCTCTGAGTTGGTGGCTGTTTTAAGAGGTATGGGAGATAAGGTGCGGTGGCCTAATGAAATGAGATCAGACCCAAGCAAAAGAAATCCAGATTATTGGTGTGAATTTCACAACGATCATGGCCATAGAACAACGGATTGCAGGTTATTACAAGGAGAGGTCGAGCATTTGTTGAAGCAAGGTTATCTAACTGACCTGTTCAGCGAGAAGGGTAGACAATCATATATGAAGAACAGACAAGAACCTCCTAAACCCCCGTCCCAAAAAGAATAGTTAATGTAATAACCGGGGGAGATGAAGTCAATGGTGTGACTTATACAACTGCAAAGAAGACGTCAAAAGTCACAGTCACTCATGGGAAGCGAATACGCCAAACCTTGGAAAGAGGTAGTATAACATTTGATGACGAAGATGCTGACGGCTTGATGATTCCTCACAATAACACACTGGTAATATCTTTACTTGTAGATGATACTAATGTAAAACGAGTTTTGATTGACCCAGGTAGTTCCATAAATATCATTTTACTAAGAGTGGTGGATGAAATGCAAGTTAACGACAAAATGATACCAAAGGCATGGTCTTTGTCTGGGTTTGATAATTCAAGTGTTATTACAAAAGGGGAAGTAGTTCTTGCTACATTTGCAGAAGGGGTTATCAAGGACACAAAGTTTCAGGTGATAGATACAGATATGGCTTATAATATAATCCTAGGAAGACCATGGATTCACGAGATGGATGTTGTACCGTCCACATTGCATCAAGGTATCAAATTTCCTTCACAGTAATGGATTCATCAAATCCGTGGAGATCGACATGCTTCTAGAAGTATTAATTCATTGGGGGCTACTAGCACGGCAAACGATGTTGCAGGCAAGAAATAGCAGTTACAGAATTCAGTTGAGGATGTGTTAATACAAACCTCAACTGAAGGCATTCCAGCACAAATTGATGTTGATTCAAGACCCGATGTTATTCAAGATCCAGAAGAAAATGAAAACATTAAGACAACTACCGAAGAACTCGAAGCGGTGGTGTTATTTATATACTGGCCAGACAGAAAAGTTTACATCGGAGCGAGCCTGAGCACAGAAATGAAAGGTAAGTTAATTGAATTTTTAAAAGCTAATGCGGATTGCTTTGCTTGGTCGTATTCAGATATGACA